AGATAGATAGATAGGTAGTTAGATAGATAGATAGATAGATAGATAGGTAGATAGATAGATAGATAGATAGATTAGATAGATAGATAGATAGATAGATTAGATAGATAGATAGATAGATAGATTAGATAGATAGATAGATAGATAGATTAGATAGATAGATAGATAGATAGATTAGATAGATAGATAGATAGATAGATTAGATAGATAGATAGATAGATAGATTAGATAGATAGATAGATAGATAGATTAGATAGATAGATAGATAGATAGATTAGATAGATAGATAAGATAGATAGATAGATAGATAGATAGATAGATAGATAGATAGATAGATAGATAGATAGATAGATAGATAGATAGATAGATGATAGATAGATAGCAGATAGACAGATAGAGCGGGAGAGAAGTGGTTAGACTGAACCATGAGTAACTCGAAATTCTGAATTTTAAATCAGCTCTCTAAAATGATTATTGCAATTTGCTTATAACGGGACACGGAAGGTCAATGGGCTATGTTATGATATAAGTTGATACACCACGCCTAATTCTTGGCGGATAATGTTTTTGCACATAATTACTATGAATTGCGAGGTACTGATGTAAACGTAGTACTTACGACAGACAGGCTTGTAAAGATCAATTCCTACAGTTTTGCACATGGGAAACTGTTTACATTCATGGTTTTTTCGGGCATTAAAGACAGCGGTGCAAAAAAAGCCTCTCATCGTTAAGCTGAGGCAATTTCGAACATGACTTGCCACACACATTTCATTTTTAGAACCCGTTTGACCATCTCTTTATATGAGGTACCTAATGCTCATTTGGGGTGGATTTTGGTGGAACCAGGCCAAAAGAGGCCACGCTGGTACATATAATTTACTATGGGATCAATTATAATAACCAGCTGCATCCGTGAAACAGAAGGCTGAATGTTCTTCAAAACCGCAAGACACGATGTGCCACTGTGCTGGTGAAATTCTTGGTTTGACCAAGATTTTCGGATGCCTTTAACACCCGATCACTGGAGCCACACGGTGCCTCTTTTCATCACAGAGGACTCTTGCAAAATCGAGCATTTACTTCCTTAGTATCGCCTTATGTTTTTTCCGCATTGTTTCAACTTGTGTTTCAGATGGGTGCAGATAAAAATGAAGAATGTAAATTACGAAAACACAGAGGATCCCTTATGAATGAAAACAGTTAGAATCAGCGGTCATCCGCTTGTTGCATAAAAACGTGGATTTGTTCGTTGTCTTAGAAAGGTGACTTACCACAAAAAGGACAAATATTACTGCGTACCAGGCATGGGGTATTCGATCAACTGAAACTAAATTCACGGGTTGCTTAAAAACCGTAAAATATCGGTAGCTGAGAATTTTTAGACGAGATCCTGAAAACAAGTAGCCTACAAGCATTACTTGCATGAGATATCAAAATGTGCAAAATGTTGAACTCACTTTAGCTGAATGGATATCGAACTGGTTTGGGAATTCAAAGTGGGATCAGAATGGCGCAGTCTGGACTGACCGACTATAGTTGATCGCATCCCATCTTTAATCGGTGCCACGCGTTTAGGCTCCAACTGTGGTGGATCACTGTGCGGACGACCACTAATATGCGAGTCCATCCAGTGCTCACGATGAAAAGTGGTCGGTTGAACAGCACCATGAAAAGCCCCCTGTTGCACTTCCATGTGCTGTTTTCCCGGTTGAACAGGCACCAAAGTGACACTCTCGGAGGAAGAATTTGAGCTGTTGTGGACGTATGCGTGTCGGGAATAACCGTCTGCCACAGGGAAATCTGTTTCGTACGAAATATGCGGGCGACTGGTACTTCCATCAGGGCGGATAATGGCGAGCGTTCTGCGTTTGTTCGAAATTGACATATCATTATATCAATGTGCATATCATGCACCCCATGTATTAAAACATACAGTACCATTCCTATTTTAGTTGCCACTAACATACGTATATTTAGCTATGTATCTTCTTCATATTCATATAACTAAATAACTAATTAATGCATTGACCATACATGGATCAGGAACTAGATTATAACAAACAACCGGTAGTCTTAATTTCGATGGCCCATTTTACGGCCGGTAAACTGCACTATTCAGATGCTAGGATTTAAAGCGTCTCATTGTCCACATGGTATCATTAAACCAGGGGGCCATAGATAGCTTTATAGCACTAGGAGATGATGCAGGTAACCAACGAAGTTGAGAGCCGAAGATAAACAAACGAAGTTTCACTTGGGTGACAACTAAATATATACCGATTTTCAGAATGAACTAACTATTTTTCCCAATTTTAGGCTTGAGATTAGTTACTGAGTCGCACATTTATGTGTGGCTCACATCGATACGCTTGTCAGTAAGGCTCTGCTACGTGTTCGATGTATTATGAGGCAACAATGTTCAGACCGTTTTTTATCCTGTTCGGATCAAATTGTGGTAGATTGGAGAAAGAAATGGTTCCTCAACACGTTTTACGAGCCAACGGATCAGTGGTGCACTCGGACTTCTGAATGAAGTAGAAGCGATGAACAAAAAATCGTTTTTTTCTTACATCGAGATGTTTTTTACATAGTGCATCGTAATGGTCAGCCACAAGTGTGGCTGGCCACATGCTGAACGTATCAGTGTCCTGGATTGTCAAGCCCATGAAGTTTCGTATGGTTCGTTCCCCAGTCTGTCTACATTTATACAGAATTTTTAGTTCACTAAAGCTCCATCAAAGCACAATATTCCCTTCATGTGAAAAAATTAAGAAAAATAATTTATTTCTTCCATATTAAGCTGTCACTTCCTTTTATTTTACGGGGTCTGTTGAATCCGTTGGATGACGAGATCATTGCCAAAACAGATGACTGAACATATTCAGTCATATCCCTGGAAGGGTTTCCTGCGGCCCACAAACAGTCAAGTTTTTCCATACCTAGTGGGTATTACCAGCGCTATTAGAGACACCTTCAAAGTCAGTCTGAACCTACTAAGGCTGGCTAAAACCTAGATATTTCACAAAACTGAAATTACCTTCTTCCACATATAGAGGCCAGAGCTCCGCGTTGAAAAATATCCTGCCCAAACACCTCGTTTACCCAGACCTAGTTGAAACAGCACGCTCGCACAGAATGAACCGGTATAGTCTTGCATCCTCAGCATTCTCGACTTGTAACATGTGTTCCCTTCCTGCTTCGATTCCTTCATTCGAGCGTTGATTCCTCTGGCGATCACTATACGATGTAGCTGTGAAACTTGAGTTTTCTGCAACTACTCATGAGTACCTCGCATTTAATCAGAAGTGCCTACTAATGGTGGTCGTTGGCTTGTTCGCTGAGCTGGGCAATTTGATTGCAAACGTTTCATCACCAATCGAGGTGACATCATCAGTGCGTTATTGTGGAGCGTAGTAGTGCGTAGTGGTGGGTTGGTGGTTGTGCGTTGGGTAGTGTTGTGCGTGTGTTAATATACGTGCTGCTAGCAGGGGATGACCTTTGGTCGCGATTAGTTGTTCGCTCGGGTGATTCCATTGGTTGCTCCGTTGTCCTGTATCCCCATTCGCCGATGCCCACGTGACCTTTGAGCTTGGCATCCCCTCCGTCGTAATCTGGTCGAAGCTAGGTTGACCTTTGTCCCTTCCAGTCCTGGGTTGTGACCTTTATTGATTTGCCTCCAAGGAGTTCCTTGTTTCGTTGTTTGTGAATCCAATATTCGGTCTTCCTTGAGTTTTCCGGTTGAGTTGTTGGTCTTTTGCACGTATGGGTGCGTAAATTGGGTCCAGTTCGATGCACCGGTTGATCGAATTTGCCGTCGAGTACCATGCTTCCAGAAATTCTCTTCCGTGCCTCGTGCGTCCGTATGCCAAAATTTCTGCGTTTT